CAGAGGTTGATCTTACGTACGAGTTGGTAAAAGGGACCCAAAAGTTATTTGCTAAGGCCAACATAATGAAAATTGGTGAAGGTCCTAGTAATTTTGATGTGCAGTCTTGTGGCTAAGATGTCGAGCTTGGTAATTGGAAAGACTCCTTTCTTGGCTAGCCAGGGAGGAGTTTTGGTGGTTTATTTTGTTGTCATTTCTGTTGTCCAGGTTATTTTAGGGTTGTAATCCGAATATTGTCTTGTGGCTCAAACCCTTCTTCTTCATATTTTTCCTAGTTCATTTAGTTGTAGCAACTCGTCTAGTGTTATCTAGGATTGTTCCAGGATTGTAACCCATGTCTATTTTATTTGTTTTGTTCAAACCCTTTTCACCATCTATCTAATGCAATCTCTTGTTTTCTATTAGTTCTAGTTAGTTTTTGTTTAGGTGACTTTTTCTTTTATAGTTCTTTTTATCCAGATTCTAGTGACATGACATGCACACATAATTATCAGCCTGGTCTTGAAAGTTAGTTTAATCATGAAGCAATGACACAGTTTTGAACATGACAAAAGAGGCATTTGAGGGAACAAGTAAACATTCACGCATCTTGAGATAACATGAAGCTTGAATTGAGTGAAACTGAGGCAGTTAGTTTGGGAAATCAAGAGGTTGATAAGAGCATACAACAAGGAAATGTCTCTCAAGCAGTTTGAGGTAAATTAGTCAGTGCTGAAATGCATTCTTCCACATCAAGATAAGGTTGAGTCAAGTCTGCTTTGAACTGGCAAGGGTCATTCATTGGGACAAAAGTATTGCCCATTGGCACTTTTTGTTTGTGATGATGCCATCAATAGATACTATGTGTGATTTGTTTGCTTATCTTCAATTGCATGTTTGTACTTAGCATTTTTAAGTTTGGTGTGACGAAGGCATTTTATTTTGCTACCCAAACACGTTTATCTTTTACTACCCCTTTTTAGCCTTAATTTATTTTGTTTCATACCCCTCTTTTGGATCAGAAGCAGAGTTGGGAACTAGAAAAGAAAAGAAAAAGAGAAAAAGAAAAAATGAAAGAAAAAAAAAAGAAAAGAAAAAAAGAAGGGAAAAAAAGAAAGAAAGAAAAGGAAAAGAAAACAACAAAATAGTCCAACTTTATGTTTGAACTACGTTCGACCTGATTCTTGTCACCTCAAGATACGTAGGCAGCCTTATGGTTTGGTCACACAAAATAAAATATTTCATAATCCCCCGAAGTCGAGAGTGGGCCAAATTTTTTAGAAATCCCATCAAAAATCCCCAAACTCCAGAAATTGGCAGAAGTTTTAATTTTGCCAAAAGATTTGATTCCAAAAGTTGTAATTTTGAACCCTTTCATTTTAAATTATTTTGAGCCTTCATACCACCCTTTCTTTCCAACCTTATCCAAAAGCCTACATTTCGGTCCAAAGAAAGACCTTCCGACCAATCTTTGAGGATGTCAAATCAAGTGGTGGTCAAAGTATGATCTTCTTGTATCATGGGTAATACCTTGTTCTCAGCACGAAGAGAGAAATTGATAAAATGAGAGAGTCTTATCGGTAAAAACCCTCATGGGCACCGTAAGGCGACGGTGAGTTGAGAAAAAGAGCAAATGAGAGAGGCTTGATGGTGAAAACCCTTCAGGGCACTACAAGTCGACTGAGGATTGTGGATCAAATGGGATAATTGGAGTGCTGAAGCCCAGTTTCACAGTTTAGAGGCACAACAAGAGTTGAACATTTGAGTTGCTTAACAGATTAGGCCACTTTAATCCAAAATGCATGTCACGGTCATTAGAGTTGGTATCTACATCTGACAAGTTTCTACTAGGTGATTTTCTTGTTAAATGTCATCTCTTTTTGTTGTCCCGTTAACTCTATTCTTCTTGCTTTGTTTAAGTTTTCTGGAGTCTATTTTGTCAGAACAAGTAAAGAAATGACTTCAAAACCTGCTACTAGCTTTCCAATTGCACAAAGCGGATTCTGGCTAGCGCATCAAAATGGCATAAGTCAGGAAAGAACAGTATGTGTACTGAGTTGGTAACAATCAACATGCTTTGGGATTCATGTGAAATGCAAAGATTCAGTAAATGTCAATTCATGAGCATGATGCAATAGATAAAGGGTATTGGGATCGAATGGAGCGGTGGTATTTTCCGTGATAAGGGTTTAAAGAAAATAGGCAGTCGATAACAGGCAAAGTCTTCCAATTTGAAATCAAAGTTGTCTTGGCAAGTGCAAAAGCAACCGCCTTCAAGGTCAAGGCCACAAACTAACCACCGTGTTTTAAACTCACAAGTTTTCTTTGCTAAAACAGGGATGAAGGCTATGTTCATAACAAAGCTTAAATTTTTCAGGTGTAATGCCCCCAATTCTGCTTGCGCAAAGGCTATTGAGAAGATCATACATCACCCCTAGGAGAAGCACTTTCTAGTCTGGGCCTTTCGAGTTATATTCTTGTTTTAGGAGACACACTTCCTAAATTGAGATTTTATCCCTAGGAGACGCACTTCCTAGTTTTGGGTCATTTAAGTTCATTCCTAGGAGATGTACTTCCTAGTCTGAGTCATTGAAGTTTCATCCCTACGAGACGCACTTCCTAGTCTGGGTCTTTTAGGTTATATTTTTGTTTTAGGAGACGCACTTCCTAATGTGAGATTTTACCCCTAGGAGACGCACTTTCTAGTCTAAGTCATTGAAGTTTTACCCCTAGGAGACGCACTTTCTAGTCTGGCTCTTTTAGGTTATATTTTGTTTTACTAGACACACTTCATAAATTGAGACTTCACCCCTAGAATATGCACTTCCTAGCCATGGTTTTTCAGGATATACTTTTAGGAGACGCACTTTCTAAATTGAGATTTTCACCCTTAGGAGATGCACTTCCTATTTTTGGTTCATTCAAGTTTCACCTCTAGGAGACGCACTTCTTAGTTTTGGTTCGTTCATGTTTCACCCCTAGGAGACGCACTTCCTAGTCTGGGTCTTTCAGGTTATATTTTTGTTTTAGGAGACGCAATTCCTAAATTGAGATTTTACCCCTAGGAGATGCACTTCCTAGTTTTTGGTTCATTCAAGTTTCAACCTTAGGAGACGCACTTCCTAGTCTGGGTCTTTCAGGTTATATTTTTGTTTTAGGAGACGCAATTCCTAAATTGAGATTTTACCCCTAGGAGATGCACTTCCTAGTTTTTGGTTCATTCAAGTTTCAACCTTAGGAGACGCACTTCCTAGTCTGGGTCTTTCAGGTTATATTTTTGTTTTAGGAGACGCAATTCCTAAATTGAGATTTTACCCCTAGGAGATGCACTTCCTAGTTTTTGGTTCATTCAAGTTTCAACCTTAGGAGACGCACTTCCTAGTTTGAGTCATTAGAGTTTTATCCCTAGGAGACGCACATCCTAGTCGAGTCTTTAGTTTTGCTCTCATCATTGCATCAATAGCATATGTGATTTACAGTTTTGCTAACAACTCACAAATCTTCCTAGGGCAAACTGGGGCAGAAAATTTTGTTGGTTTTGTTGTTTTGATTGCAGACACCCACCTGGAGAATGAGGAATTTGTTTCAGAATTATTTTGCGTTTTGGCAATCAGGCACCCACCTGGAGAAAAAGGGAATATAGTTCAAGGTTTAGCAATCAGGCGCCCACCTAGAGAATAAGGGAATACAATTCAAGTTTTGGCAATCAGGCACCCACCTGGAGAACAAGGGAATACATTTCAAGTTTTAGCAATCAGGCGCCCACCTGGAGAACAAGGGAAGTCATTTCATAATCCAATTCAAGTTAGAAGTAGCAGAAGCTCGCGGAAAGAATGCGAGTCAACAGTCCGAGATGATCAACAGAAATAATCTCAATCCAGAAAAAAAAAAGAAAAAAGAAAAGAAAAGGGAAGTGAATCCAAAATGTAGAAGCTGAGACAAGAGGTGGATTGCTCAAGACATAACTAAAGTCACAAGCATGGTGTGTCCGGTTTTGATCCGAAAAGCTGAAGAAGAATGAACTAGCACCTGCAACTAGCAAGCGTCAAGGTTCAAATCTAAAGTCTGCATGAAGAACCATTCAAGACTTAAGACCAAACTTCAGAAGACTTATAGATAGGAATCTTGTAACTCATAGTTGACAGACTTAGTTAGTCTTTTTTATTTTTTTGATTTTGATGTAATAACAGGACTGCGGACCAGAACCTCAATAGAACAACATCTCGACTGACTCTCCACCTCAGTACACTCCATCATAGTTCCTACTTCTAAACTACACGTGGCCTGATTCCTTTATAGCCAAGGATATGTAGGTAGCTCAGATACTAGGGCTCAGCTACATTCTTCTTCCTCTTAGTTTTTGGTCTCCCAAATAAGGGTCGGGTCAAAAGACATGTCTAATCGTTCTTTGTCTGAAAATACTTTGTATTTCCAGTCAAAGAGGGACAGCTGTAGACATGTAATTTTTTATCCTCCCTAAGATTACATATTTAGCATTTAAATACTTAGTATAGTTCTAATATAGTTATTTCAACTAATTTTGACTCTTTTACATAATTTTTATTACAAAATTGCAAAATACAAAAATAGTTTCATTTTTCTCTATTTAATTAAGGTATTAGGTATTTTTAGAAAAATATTATTTTCAACCCATTTTTTATTTTTAATATAATCCTTGAAATTATCAAAAATAGTTTCATTTTTCTCTATTTAATTAAGGTATTAGGTATTTTTAGAAAAATATTATTTTCAACCCATTTTTTATTTTTAATATAATCCTTGAAATTATCAAAAATAGTTTCATGTCATAATATAGTTGTTTTAGTTAATTAGAATTACTTTTATATTTTTATGGTATTATTTTAGAAAAAAAATTAATATTTTTAGCCAAATTGCAAGAATTATAGAATTATAAGCTTAATTTATAGCCCAATTCACCAAGGCCAATCTTTTTGGCCCAATTAACCCATTAGCCTAACCCCAAGACCTAATATATCTTCCCCTTTAATCGATCTCTTTGACTTGGACAAAGGGGGAAAAGAGGCAGATGGGCACTTGGATCCACCCAGGCCCCACCCAACCTCTCACACACATAAGCCATCAACGACACAACCAACCGCCAGCAACTCTGATCAAACCCTTCTGTCGCCGCAAAACAACCACCATACACCCGGCGACGCAGCCCTTTTCTAGTTATTCTAGGGTTTTCAGCTTCTCCAATTTTTCTGCGTCTCTCATACCTAGGTCGGTGTCGTTGCCTCCCTTCGACGTCTCTCTCAGATTGATTGAGAGGCCGTTGAGTTCGGATTTTTGGCTGTCGTTGAGGCCCGTTGTGGTTTGGTTCGCGTTTCTGCTTGAAGTTTGATTATCGTGTCTAGTTCTGGTCGCGACTGTCCCTTTGCTTCTGTCCGTGAATTGCTGAAATTATTCTAATTGAAAGTATTATTTTCAGGTTTGATCCTTTCCCTCTACTTTTGTGTTGATTTGAGTATGATGAGAGCTTGGGGTACAAAATAGAAATTGATCCGAATTTTAGCTCAGATATTGATGTGCTCTGTTATCTTCACTTGTCATTATGAGTTAATATACAACATCAGTCCAATATTATTTCCATACCATGAGAATTATTGCTAATACAATTAATTTCATAGTATAGTTATTATAAAAAGTTGACTTATAATATTCTCTTAAACATCAAAATAGTAAATACCTTATTCTGTTAATCGTTAGTGTTTGGTTAAGAATTTGTAGGATTTGGATGTTAGTTTAAGCTTCAATCTTCTTTTAGTAGTCCAGTATTCTTTAACATAGAGTCATGATTCTTTTTTTTTTCTAAAGTCATTCGTTGAGAGTATTTTTCCCATGGTCAGAATGGTTTTTCATTTGTGAGTGAGACTATCATGTTTTGACTGCTTTCAATACGTTTTTAGATATCCTTTGTATATTTGTGTGGATGATTTGAATGAGTTATTTCGAGTGGTTGTTGAGCCTCGGGGGAAGCCGAGTCCATTAAATAATGCTTTAGGAATTGGTTTGGTCAAATGCATGAAATGAGAAGTTAAAGTGGATCTAAAGTAGGTTTATGTTCAGCAACAGAAAGAGGTGAGGTTCTGCTTTCTTACCCGAGAATATTTACAAGTGGACATCTATATGGGCTTCATGTGATTCGAAGCCAACCACTATGTATTGAAAGAAAGTCCTATGTGTACCTATGTATACCTATTGAAAGCCAACAAGAGCCTCTTAATACTTACTTGCCTAAACCAAGCAAAAGAAATGAGCATGAAATTAACTTTTGTTTATTTTACTTTTACTACATTGTCCGCTAGGAGCATGCTTAGGCTGACCACACTCGAGTAGGCAAATCGTAGGTTGCTTCTTTTATTTTATTCGAGGCGAGAGGTCGTTTTCTTAGTTTATTATCTGGGGAATGCCCCGCAATTTTGTACATATTTTTTTATCCGGGGTATGCCATGAAGTACTTGTATTTGGAGGCCTAAAGTGGAACTCGTAGTATTTTTACTTTTATTTTTATTTTTATTTTTCTTTTACTAGGCAAGGACGATCTCGGGCCTCTTGTGTTTGTTTTTCTTTTCTATGTTTGTTTTTTATCTCAATTTGAATATCTTAAAAGCCAACTAGATCGAGTACGTACCCGTGACTTTCACGGGACTTGGGAAGTGCCTAACACCTTCTCCCCGAGTCAAATGAACCCCCTTACCCGAATCTCTAGTGCAGACTTAGTTTGGAGTCCAAAGTGTTTTAAAAGGAAAATTATTTTTAAAAATGGTGACCTGGCTCACCGAAACAAATGTCAGGTGGCGACTCTGAGTTATTTTCTTTTGAGCACAATTTTATCATTTTTTAATTAAAAACCCTTTTGAGCTTTACAAAATCTTTTATATATTTAAGAGGGTTAGTAAGATTGTAAAAAGGGGTGTGACATAAAGTCCCCACTTTTCTGAACTTCTTAAATGATATTGTTGACTTGATTTCATAATGTTTGAAACTCAATCCTGTTTGTGAAGTTATAACCTCGGCTAGAACATCTCATGTATGTACTTGAATAAGAGTTTTGCATCCATCTTTGTTCCCAAATAGGCCTCCACTTATTCCTCATGCTCATGCATGTGCATCCAGTATCATCAGAACTTGCTAAGTTTATATGAGCCTGCTGTAATCCACTATTGGAATTAATGGAAGACCTTAACATTATCTGCTTTGCCTGAGCATTGTAATGTGCCTTAACCTTCAAATAAAGTCAGTATGAGTGTGAGATTTAGAGCTTTGTGAAAGGAAAGCAACCATATCATATGCTTAGGGTAATATTGGCCTGTCAACTAGCACAAATACCTCTGCTAATGCTCTTTAAGAGACTCCTAAATGAAGCTATTAACTCATCATCTAATAACAGTCAAGTCCTAGTTTAGGGATGACACTTTACCCTTTTCTGAAGCTCACAGGGTGATACGTCCTAAATATGATCCCTGCGCAGTATCTTTTGTGTGTGTTCTTATGATCCTGCATTCATTTGGTTCTTGAATGTTTCTGTTTGTCTCTCATAATCCCATACATGTTCACACTGTCTTGAAATTTCACAAAGTTCTTTTAAAATAAATTAAACCTAGCTTGTGAATTCTAAAGAGAGTCTCGTGTTGCTACTGCTTAGATATAACAGTCTGCTTTGTTCTTAATGGGATTAGTGTGGAGTTAACACTCTTAGAAAGAAGTGATCATGATTTGACAATCTGTTAAGCACTCTTAGGAGTTCTATTTGAATTTGTAAATGTATAATCTTGTTAATACCTTTTAGGAACTCTGATTATATTTTGGTGTCCCTGATAGCATCTGTAGAGGTACTAACTATGATTGTTTATTTGAATCCTTGTTAATAGTTTCAGAAGTCTCCATTAGTATTGTTAACCTGTGTGGCAAGGTTTAAGTTAAAACCAATTTGATGACTAGTCTAATTAATACATATGTGTTTGTATTCATAAACAGTTACAGACTTGAACTATGTACTTTTCTATCTTAAGATGCCTAACCCCAGATTTTTGGCTCTTCAAAAAGAGTGTCTCTACCTCTATGGATGCTTCAAGCTTATTCCTTCTGAACCTGCTTAACATGTTCATCATCCATTCAGTTTTGGAAATGTGGTATGACAATATAGGTAAACTGTCTTGTAGTCTTATATTGTTTTATTTTGGCCTCATGAGAAAGGCATATGCTTCTGTAGTGTGGCATTACTGTGGTGATAGGATTTACATTGAAAGGGCCTAATTGGCACTTAAACCTATGTGGAAGAATAAGTTGTTAATGGTTAAGGGTATTTGGGAGTAGAATTTAACTCTTGGTTGGGCTACTCTCCTTGACACAAGTATTGCCCTAGGCCTTGAGACCCTTGGGAACTTTGAAGTGTCAAGGGATTCAAAGGGAGCCCTGACCTTGAGTAGAACTCTACCCTTAGCCTCTAATCTATTGACATTCATTACTCCTTTTAGGTTTAGTATTTAATGACAATGAAAGGTTTTCAATGTAAATCACTTTACCATATGTGACCCCACATTAGTATATCCATTCATAATATTTAATTATTGTTGGTTATTATATTTGGTTTAAGTCGTTTACTTGCATATTTTATGTATAATTATAGAGTATTAGTTCTAATGAATTTCTCTCTTTCTTTTTGAACATGTGCAACCATTGGGCCTGCTGAGTTCTCAAGGAACTCAGGCCCAAAAATCATACCGATGAATCTGAAAATCTGGAGTTCACTATTGTCCATTCCTGCTGATTGTTGGGCCTACCTCTTTCAGGCCCAAACCAGAGTCATTCCTCACTCCTTTACTGCTTCATTATATCCCATTATTTATATTCTCTTACATGTATATAACGCTGCTCTCATCATATTTGATTTAATGTTTTACTTTACTCTTAGAATTATATAAATAACTTAGGCAAGCCTTAAAGAACATAAGGTTAAAAGAAATACTAGATACTAACTAGTTTTCAATTTGTTAATCATGTGTTGCTCACGTTATTAGTCTTTCATATCTTACTAAATTTTCATCAAGATTTTGGAAGCCAAAATAGCTTAGCAAAAGATGGCAGTCCCTCTTTCAAAAGATAAACCAGATATGAATCGCAAGACTAGCCTTCTAAAAAAAATCGACTCCTTTTAAAACCTAAGTACTGCTGCCCAGCAAAAATTTTCAAAATAGTTACTCAAGTCTAATATTTATGATTTCAGAGTCCAAGGTATATCTTAGGCTCACTCTCTTACAACATCTTTTAGAGTTACATGAGCATCCATTTTTTAAAAACGAAGTGTTTTATATTTTATCCCCTTTCTACATGTTTCATACACATAAACCAACTCATGTACATATTTTTAAAACTCTTTCTATTATACACCAAAGTTATTTTCCAAGACTTTTTTGTAAAAGTCATATCCTTTTAAAGACACACATCCCCTTTATTAATATCATATTCTCACATAGATATACAGTAAGTCGTACTCTTTAACATTGATTAAGAAGAATGCAAACAACTAATCCTTTAAATCTAGTCTAAGTCCTATGGAGCTACCTCAAGAAGCTTTTAAGGGATGCCTAACACCTTCCTCTTAGAAGAACAAGAACCCTTACCCAAAATCTCACCAGTTAGTAGACTACGAAAGAACTTGACTTTAGTAGTTAAATAGGTACCCTAGTATACCTTTAAATATTAGGCGGTGACTCTCTTTTATCAACAACAAAAAAATCGCAAGTTGAATACTATTTTAACTCGTGCAAAATAGGGTGCAATACTGGGTAGACTTAGGACTTTATCATGTAATATTTGAATTATTTGTACTCATTTTTTCAGCTTAATTAAGTTAATCTATAATTAAAATTGATTTGGGAATATATTAGGCCGATCTTTTATCACCTTGAGTTGATTGGCGAGACATTTGATAAACGGTAAAAGTCATGCTTACCTGATGCTTCTGTACTTGTGTTGTAAGCACGTGACTTATAATTCGATAAGTTTCTTCTTTCCAAGGGATCGGGCCGAACGCCTCGGCAGTATATTGAGATGCATCTCTGGTTCGCGCCGGTCGACCTTTGGCAGTGTACAGACCACTATGGATCAGGCCGTACGACCTCGACATAATCATATGTGATACCGCTAGCAGTTCAAATATTTATGAGATTCCCCTTTTTGTTAAGACCTGGCAGTTATATGGTATTCCTTATCCGTTTGAGATTAAAATTGATATTTCTGATTTGTTGAGATAGCATATGACATTTGAGAGAGTTATATCGTCAAAAGAAATTTTGGAGGATTATGATAGTTACCTTTTTACATCATTATTACTATTATGCTTCATATCTGTTGATTTATCATATTGATTTATTAGACCACTAGTAAGTGTCGGTGTCGATCCCTCGTCACTACTTCTCCAGGGTTAGGCTAGATACTTTCTAGGTACGCATTGATTTATGTACTCATGCAATACTTCTACACTATATGTGCAGGATCTCATAGAATCATTTGGTGATCATCTTGGCATGCAGGCGCAACAGCTGATGGGACCTTATGGTGAGTTGTTTTCCATGTTATGCACCGTAGCCCATAAAGTCTTCATCTTATTTACTTACTTTATCTTGTCTATTTTATATTCTAGACAGATGTTGTATTATTATGACACTCTTTAGTAGATGGTCATGCACTTGTGACATCGGATTTTGGGATATTCTAATTGATGTTACAGAATTGCATAACATTGTCACCTTTTGTTTTAATATCTTACTAATTATGTATGTACCCATGATTTTACATGCGCAAATTTCTTTATTTAATTAATCTCATGATTTCAAAAGTAATAAAATAAACAATTAATTTGATAGTTTACCATTGGCTTGCCTAACGGCGACGTTAGGCGCCATCACGACTTATAACGGGAATTAGGTCGTGACAGTTTGGTATCAAAGCACTAGATTCACTTAGGTCTCATGAGTCATGAGCAAGTCTAGTAGAGTCTTGCGAATCGGTATGAAGATGTCTGTACTTATCTTCGAGAGGCTACAGGACTATTCGAAGAACTTCCCTTTCTTGATTCTGTGTCGTGCTATTTGATTTCGTTGAGGCTTATGCCTTCAGTTCCTTCCTACTCATTCATACGTGATGTCAAGCATTTGATATTAGTTGGGCACGATGAGTCATGAAGTTGCTACAGATTTGGTGCAATATATTTTTCTCTACGTATATGGGCGGACTATTATCATCGCCTTGTGGAGGGGTGTTCTGTAATTTTAACCTAGTGTTAGTGTTGCCTACAGTTTTGAGGTTATGCACAGTGTATTATGATATTCATGCGTTGTTATCACGTAGTGCTTGTGTAAATGGTAGGGTTCTTACTTATGTATCGCAGTCGTAAATGACTCGAGAGGAGGATTATTCAGTTCATGGTTTAGAGATTCGATATTTAACTCCAATGGATGAGAGGAAATTGGACTATGGATGTTCAGGCTTTGGTTGACGGAGTTGCTAGATTGGATATTTTCCAATATGGTGGAATTCTTATTTGTGATATGGTGTAGCCGTCCTTGTTTGAACGCATTAAGGCTTGTCAGTATGATGGTTTTATTGGTTTGACTTTGGGGAAAGGTGTTGTGAAATGGTACCTAAGAAGCGGTTATCAGAGATGGCAGTGTGTGGCGGCTTCAGGTCAAATCGATGTTTCTAGTATTGATGGCTAGAGGAAGATGATCTTAATGAGTCTTAGAGTTGATGCCAATCTATTTGTTCAGGTGGTACGGAGATGGATCGTGATTTGGAGCGACATGAGTGGCGGCAGATGATGAGAAGAGACATGGTAGGATATGTCTCGCGGTGGTTGGACTACTAGCAGGTCAAGTACGAGCAATAGATCTCAAGTAGTTTACTTAGGATGATGGTTTAACCGGAGTGGGAGTGGTAGCGTATCACATGAATTTTTTTGTAGGACAGCCACATGCTTTGAGAAAGCCTGGGGTGATTTTGGTCATGGTGGACAAATGACTAAGTTTGTGTATTTCGTTTGAGGTGGTGGTTTATGTACTTAGGAAGCTTGAATGTGACGAAAAATGTTTCTTGGAAAGCAGAGGAATGTGAATGCTTAATTATCATTTGGGGATGCACTATAGCTTCAAGTTGTAAACGTATTGTTGGAACTTCAGTTGATGTTAATGGTAGGAACGGATTCTTACGGATGGCAGATGAGTGTGAACCTAGAAGAATTAACTAATTTCATAATGGATGTGGCTATGGCTATACCGTTGGAGGATGTCGGTATGAGGTTACATAGGTAGGCTATCTCCAGTGAGAAGGTTAGAGATTTCATGATTCTGATGAAGTTCTTATAAAGAGTTATGTCTTCTATAATGGGATGCATGTACTACAATGTGAGCTTAGATCATTTGAAGAAGATGGTACGATTGTTAGAAGGTTGAGTGTGCGATTGTAGCTGATAATTCGGGATGTGTTATGATTAATGCAACAAGAACTTATGAGAAATTTGGCTTAGTAACGGTGTGAGATCATGGTAGCGAGTAGGAAAAGTAATTGTGAGTCCTTGGATTTTGCGATGGTGGCTTAAAGCTAAGTGGGGGAGCCTACCATCGATGATTGGGTCACGTGGTTATATGCCCTTGCAGTTTCTGGTTAGCGGTATGATGGTGAATTAGTTATGACTGAGGAAGAGAACATCAGGGGTAATTCGATCAATGAAGTTGATGGATGTGAGCTATATTTTACCTTTTTGATATGTGAGGGTTGTGGAATGATTCGGATTTTATACTTCTGGTGGATGTGATGTACAAGGGAAAGGATTCATCCGGTTGCTTCATCGGAATGCTCATATGCTAATGGAGCACTAGTTGTTTAGCTAAATAATCGAGACTGAATTAGAGTTGGCGACTCTCAATAATTATTCTAGTGGATTCAAGATTTAAGGTGTGGTGCTTAATGATTTTTGGGTTCGTTATGTGGCTGAGTATAGGGTTTTGTAGTAGAGTGTAAAGGGTACTTGGATTATTTCTATGTTATCATCGGGTCTGCGGTGCGGTGTTAGAGAGATGGAAGACACAACTTCGGATTCGCAAAAGATCTAATCAGTGTAGGTGTATCAGTTGGAGATACTATTGAGTACATAGGAGGGCATAATATGGCTTATAGGTATTGAGGCGACGTGGTCTCATGATTTGGGTCCCTCAAGCTGAATGTTGATTGAGCTCCATTATGTGTTTGAATAGAGATATTACTTTGAAGGCAAGTAGAGAGTAAATTGGAAGAAGTTGAGTCAGTTAGTAATGGTTTGAATCAACAGGGTTGTGAAAATGATCAGTTCATATGGTGTGTTAAGGCTATATAGGTGATTCGTGATTGTACGTGCAGTCTTGACAACCATCGTGAATTGATTGATTTGGAGGTATTTGATTTTGATGGTTTGGTTATATGTAAATGGATACTAGAAAGGTTATGGAGGTTCAGACCACGACTTGAGTTCCGTGTCTTTTGTGGTTATGAGAAGTTGGTGTGTGTTGAGATTCGTCTTCTAAAATGAGTTAAGTGAAAGGCTTCTAGCCGATGAAGTGTTTATTCTACTAGTGGTTCAGGAGTTATGATGAAATTTTTGTTTGCGTAGCATCATGTTAGGAGCAGTGAGCGGTATGGAAATTGGAAGTTGAGGATCAAGGTTGCGGTTCAGTTTTGATAATAACGTCACAAGCTCGGATGAGCAGGGAAGGATTTCAGATGTTTAGAGCATGTGGCACTATTTTCAGGCAGTCTGAGGATGGTTTGTTTTGTGGAAGAGGTGTTGTGTATCGAATTGCGGGTTCATGATTTGCATTACAAAAATAGCATGATCGATGGCCATGGATGTATAGATTTTACTACCTAGTGTGGAAGGTTGTGGGAGTATATCCTACGGGAAGATCATATAATTTTGATGTGTTGGTCATTTAAGTGTTAGAGATTGAAATCAGATATGAGGATTTCGGTGTTGCCGCTAATGGGAGAGTTTATGCCTGAGAGGCACTCTATTCTTTGGTTGTGGATTGTGGGAGTTTGTTCTGGATTGGACGACTACTCGTATGTGTCATGAATAGGGTCATTGTGGATCTTTGGAGGGTTATTGGCCCATTTTGGGATGATCGAAATCGGCTTGAGTTCCATTGGTTTGCTTAATGTGAATGTATATTTTATATCAGATCAGGTATACTGGGTCAGTGTAGCATTGCTTATGGATGATTCTTCGGGAGTAGTGGATGATGTTTCAAGTGTTGTCTAATTCAGGTACTACTCTATTATGCCATGTGGGTTGTGAGACAGCTTGATTATTTGCACATGTGTTGTGATCCCGAGTATCTTGTGGTGTTATATGAGCAGGATGGCTCTCGAGATGCAGGTCATTTATTACACCTTAGTCGTGCTTGGATTTTTGTAGCACATGTCGTTATCCGTCTCCCTAGGGTTGTCTTTATGCACTTGGCGTGTTTGTGGTCGATATTCTGACATTTCGTGGGTATGAGCATTATAGCTTGATGGGTATTTCCTTATTGATTGTTATGTGTGGATCTGGTGGCACGTCGCCATGGGCATGATGTTTGGATCGGGTTGCATGTCGCAACAATATCATAGTTAGATCGGGTTGCATGCCGCAACGGTATCATTTTTGGATCGGGTTGCATGCTGCAACAGTGACATGTGTGGATCAGGTTGAACACCACAACAGTGAGACGTTGAGTACGGTTTCTTATACTTATTTTGAGGGCCTTGTTTCTCATCTATGAGATAGGTTTATGGAATCCGTTTGGCCATTTTATTTGTTACGCGGGCTGGATAGATCTTTGCCAGAGTTCGTTCTTCCTTATGGGTCATATTCGAGTTGTAGCTTGTTGGTGCATCGATGTTTCGTATGAGATTTTAGGTGGTTTCTTATGTGGCTTGTCGGTCGAGTATCTTGTACTGGGTAAGATGAGGTTGTCAAGCCTGGAATCAGTGGAATCAGATTTATATAATGCATATTAGAGGGAAAATGTCATATTCAGTTCAGAATGAGGCAAGGGTTCTTGTTGAGCAGAGGAATTTAAGGAATTATTAATTTGGCACGTGGTTATGGATTTCTACACATCTCGTTCATTATTGCAGTATTACGAGTGTCGGAACTGGACTTATATGTGTAATGATATATATTACGGACATCAGATTCGTGAAGTTGCATCTATGGTGGTTGGAGGATGTTATATGTGGCATACGAATTATGCGGTGCAATGTGTGATTACAACATAGGTGGATGATCATGTTTTGGGTTCAGCGTGTTGAGATTGATATGGTGTCCGTATAGTAGAATCAGGTCTCGCAAAGATTCCGGATGTTGGAATTTGGTTCTAAGGCTTGTGGGATAAGGTAGCAGGAAGGATCTTCAGTCTAGCTTGAGCTAATGTGCTCACATGGGCTGTGGTGGAACGAGCAGGTGCACGAGGTGTTAAACAGCAATTTTGGGCAACTCCAAAACAGTTCTTGGCACGTTCGAGGACGAACGTATGTATAAGTAGGGAGAATGTAATGACCTGACTGGCCGTTTTGACTTCTAGCGCGTTGTTCCACGGTTTGAGGCATTGGGTAGCTTCACTTTATGTGTTTATGTTAGCGGAAACGTAAAAGAAAGAACACAAGATTTAACGTGGTTCGGATCAAAATAATC